TTTTTTTTTTTTTTTGTGTTTAGAAATTCATATTTGATTATGTATATATATAACCAATTGATTATTTTTTTTTCTTTTTTGTTTTTGTGTTTAGAAATTTATATTTGATTATGTCTTTGCATATAACTAATTGATTAATCTTTTGTGTTTTTTTTAATTGTTTTTTTGTTTAGAAATCCATATTTGAAGAAGGAGAAGAAGAAGAAGAAGAAAAAGAAGAATAAAACATAGGAAGAGAGAACGTGCGAAGAGTAAGAAAATGAGAAGAAAAAATAGGAAGAAAGAGAAAAAATAGTTACTGAAGAGCAGTTGTTGTTTTTAACCGGTTACCTTTTTTAATAAAAAAGACTGATATGAATTGAGCAATTTTGGAATTGCTGAAGGGGTGCTGTCTTTATAGAATATTTTATTAATACATGGTCAGTTATGTATTTTTGTGAATATTAGAACATTGTATCTTATTAGCATATTAACGAAAGTTTAAGTCAATTAATTTGGATTTTAATCGATGAACCAAGTAATTACTTATTAGCTATTATTGTATCAAATAATCTTACGACACCACGTGCCGTGTAATTTACTGATTTCTATAAAGAAAAAGAAATACAGAAAAATGCTACGGTGCCATCCGTCAGAATTTCATAACCATTAGATCATCCTCTAATCGTCATGGATAGTTGATCTAACGGTTACAAACTCCAACGGTATAATTCCGTAACAGGATCGTAGAATCTCTCATAAATATAAAAGTCACGTAATTTTTAATATAAAAAATTGCTCAGTAAAATATTTAAGTACCAATAATTCCAATGGGTCTTTAATTCATCCTAAAGTTGACGGTGGTAGTAGTTGGAATGACGGAGAGTAATGCTCCCCTACCCATGGTTGACACATTTTAGTATGCCCATCGTTTATGTGGCATGCATACATTGATGATATATTTTTTTGAACATATTAATATCAGTAATGTGTGCATGCCACATAAACGATGAACATATTAACATATGTCAACCGTGGATAAATGAGCATTATTGATGACGATGATTAAACAATGTACTATATAATAATTCCCTTTCTCGTTAAAGGTTTTGTACTGCATTCGTTTCTCATCTGCAATCCACATGATTATGTCTCCAACTTATTAACCATAGTCTATATGGTCAATTGATTTTCACTTTCAACCAACGAGGCAACAAATTTAAATCTACTTACAATTATCTATATCAATTTAGATTTTTATAAATAATATTAAAATATTTTTAGTTCTAAATATCTAATATTTTTAATGTTTTTCTTCCATTACATGTATCAATTTTAGAAAGTAATATTATATTTTTGGCATAATTGTTACTGTATTACTATTACACAGTAATGTTAAGGAGACAACAGTTGGCTCCGTTATGGAGCCAACAACCAATTGGATAACTCTATGTGGGGCTGTCCCACATTAAAGTATTGTGGGCCAGCCTCACCTGGAGTTGTCTCATTGGTTGTTGGCTCTGTAACGGAGCCAACTGTTGGCACTTTAGCATTATTGTACTATTACATATCTCCATCTTTAATTGTAACTAGTGCGTGGCACGTGCGATGCACGTACGCGAGATTCGTAGTCTAAAATCGAAAACGTTGGCCTCTGTGATCCCGAGTGAGAGCGGACATTATCCTTTTGAGACACTATTCTCATTTTGGGAACTTTATAGTTTTTATTAATATTTGTCGTGTCTGTAGTGTCGCGAGTTTTGTTTTTGGTTTATAGCGTTGCTCGTGTCAGTTCTACGCGGTATTCTGACATGTCATTCTAATTTATTCAACTTTCGATTGTTTTATTCAACTAGAGATTGTACATTCGCACATTTGTGCGTTCCGATATATAAAATTCTCTAATCCCTTATACTCCAATATACTTTTATCATTTTGTACCTATAATAAAAATACATAACCCCCCACTACCCTTCATTATGAGATTATTACATTACTTTCTCCCATAAACTTTAAAATAGTTTTATTATTGGCTCACCTTTTAAAATCAAAACTTTATTTATCCCCATTTTTTTTTTTTATTTTAAGAAAAACTAACAATTTATTTTTTTTCCCCTTTCGCATCCCACATTTTTTTTATGTTCCGCCAAAAGCTAAGACACAAGTAATAAATTTTCCTTTCAAATTTTGAAATTTCGAGTTTTTTTCAGTTCATTTTTTTCTTGAAACTTTATCAGATGTTTTAATTTCTTGTCAGCTCAAGTGAATATGGCCACTGCACATTAAAGGGCTGTCGTCAAAATCTTCTCTTTCTGTTTGGTTTTCTTCTCTCTCGAAATTTTTGATTTATTCATTTTAATTTTTTTTTTTTATTTTTTTTATGCGATGTTATGCCGGAAAAGTACGGCAAAGAACAGGCGTGGATCGGTTGCTGTGCACCTGAATGTATACGATCTTTCCTCCATGAATGGCTATGCTTACTGGCTTGGACTCGGCGCCTACCACTCAGGTGTTCAAGGTTAGTTCTTGAATAAATTATTTTTATTTAATTTTTTGTTTATTTGTTGTCAAAAATCAGATCTGTGTAGCAAATTTTGCTGCTTGATATAGATAAAGTGGTTTAATAATCCAAGATTTTAGTGCCCACCTTGTTCTTTTATTTATTTTAATTTGTATTTTAATTTGTGTCTTTTGTTTCAATTTTATTGGATGATTCTTGATTTTATTTGGGTTTTTTTCAAGAAAGTGTGCACAAGTTCTTGGCATTGAATGATTATTGTGTTCTTAGTCTATTATCAAGTTTCCATGCTTTGTGGGATTATAGTTTTGAATATTTTTCTGGGTTTATTAAGTGTTATGAAAGTGAATGAACTTGAATGTCTGCATAATCTGGCACAAACCCCTGTTCTTTTCTAGCTAAAATCCAAGAATTTTACACTACCCTTGTTAATATTGTCGAAAAATGGGGAAAAAAATGCAATCTTTGGCAGTTCATGGTGTGGAATATGCATTCGGAGCTCACGAGTATCCCACGACGGGTATATTCGAAGGGGAGCCGAAAATTTGCGATTGTTTCACTTTCAGAAAGTCGATTTTGATGGGTTGGACTAATATGACTCCGGGGGAAGTTAGAGGAGTTATGGAAGATCTTGCCGAAAAATACAGGGGAGATGCTTACAATCTCATCACCAAAAACTGCAACCATTTTTGCAACGATGCCTGCATTAAGCTCACCGGTAATCCAATCCCTAGTTGGGTTAACCGTCTCGCTAGAATTGGTAAGTACTAATTTTATCTGCATAGATTTTATTTGATCGACTTATTTAAAAATTTAGTGAGACGATTTTCGTACGCCACGTGCATGAGTTGATGTCTTAATAACGACCGAACTTTAAGCGAATTCGAGTGTGTGTTGTGGGATTTATTTTATACCCTCGATAGCATTAAATAAGCGTAAAAAGATGGTGATGAGTTTGATTTTGATGCATTCATTTAAGATTTCTATAAACTTTTTGGGTTCACTTAACTTGGTTTCATACTTTCATGCATGAATTGTTCGATTTTTTCTTTTTTCTTTTTTAGCACTAACCGGACAATTCACATTATACCGTAGCAGCATCACTTATCTCATCTGAATTGTTCGGATTTTGTTCGATAAACTTTTGAAGGTTGATTTTTGTTCCATTTTAGGCTCGCTTTGCCACTGCATAATCCCGATCAACTTGAACACAACAAAAGTTGGGCACCACAAGAGTGAGGAGAAAGCGAGTGAAGCTGAGAAGAAGAAGCTCAAGAGCCGCTCGTCCAATAGGTACTCTCATTCGCCTTCGAATTCATCTTCGTCTACTTCTTCTTCTTCTTCGTGTTCTCCACCATTAGAGGCAACCATCGGCAGCCAAAGCCGAAGCCCTCTGCCTTTGTAATTCGTTAAATTTATCGATTGTTTGTGGGAGGTGATATCGATCATTTACAGTGGCAATATCTTTTTTTGGATTTTTTTTTTTTTTTTTATTTTCCTTTTGTTATTTACTGTGTATTATTATAGTGCTAACAGTTTGATGAGACTGAGAAATATCTGTATATGCACATTGATGATATATCATGTGGTATTGTGTGGGCGCCGGATTATGATTACACCCAACATCAAAGTTGGAAGTGTTAGTTGGAATGGACTTCAAGATTTGGAATTATATACTTTACTACTTTTATAAATGCTCAACAAATTCCTTCAACTACTCACAGCCCTACTATTTATTTGTAGGGAAATGTTACGCTCTCAGTTACGAAACCATTTCGTCGAGATTTGTAACCGTTAGATCAACGATTACAAACTCCGACAGAATAATTCCGTAACGGGACCGTAGCATCTCTCATTTTATTTAATCTTTCACTTTACACACACCCTAATTATTCAATCTCATCTGCCAAGTGTTCTGTTGTTTTAGCGCTGTTAAAGCCCAAAGACGCACCTGCAAATGGGACTACTTCTTTACCAACAAAATAATCATTGAAATCCACCAAATCACAATCAAACTTTTGGCTCCATGGACCCCAACACCAGTCACCAGGTGATAAAAAACCTTTGCTTGTGAATAAATTTTACCATCACAATAAATTGTTGAAACAGTTCTGAGAATATTTAAGTAACCAAGATGAAAATTTTCATCTCATAATTTCCAGTAATCAAAACGGAAAATAAAAACCTTGCAATATAGACTTGGAAAACCCCATTCCATTATTTTGTATCCGTGGAACTTTGGGGTTCTTGGATTGGTGGCCCATTAGCTCCGCTTGCTGCAATGTTTAGCTCCATGTCGCGGGCTCGAGTTGCTATCCTCAAATTTTTTTGGTTGAATGCCTTGAAGGATGTAACGACGACCTTAATCCATACCTTGAATGCACATCTCAATGTCAGAAGCCTCAGACAAACGATCCTTGTAATTCAGACTTAGGTTCCTCCATCTATTGATGTAGTCGATGAATGGCTCCTCCTTCCATTGTCAAGATGTAGTGAGATCGATCATACTAACTGTACGTCTTGTGCTATAGAAGCGACTGAGAAACTCGTGTTCCATTTGCTCCAAACTATTGATGGAGTTTGCTTCAAATCAGTGTACCAGTCGAATGCAACCCCTTTGAGTGAACGAACAAACTGCTTAACGAGATAATCGCCATGAGTTCTCACATTGTTGCATGTTTCAATAAATTGGGCTATATATTTTATTCGGGTTGCCCTTACCATCAAACTGTTGGAACCTTGGAGGTTGATATCCAACAAGCATCCTCAAGTTATCAATCGTTGGCATATATGGTTTGACGTAGCTGTGGGTTGACTTGGAACCATCATCAAGCTTATCTTTAATTGTCCCCATGATGAAATCCTTGAGTTGATCAATGGAGATCATTCCCACGGAAGAATATTGGAGTTTTTATTTTGTCAAATTGCTCTGGTTTGGACGTTTCATCTTGTTTGCCCTTCATGCGATTCGTTTAAGCATTGTCGACCTTGTCTATTAGCTTTGAGATTTGGGAGTCTTGCTCTTCGACCTTCTTCTTGAGCCCTCCAATGACCTTCGTTAAGCTTGTGATATGTTCTTCAAGAGTTGAAGCATTAGTCGACATAATTGGAGCGATGCTTGAATCTGATGAAGAGCTTGATGATGAACGAGGAGCTGAGGAAACGGAGTCATCTTCATCACGTTTGTGGATAAGATGCAACTTATCACTTTCGATCACCTCGTGCAAAGGAGTTGTCTCCGAAGATTCTTGCAATTGTTTGGCCATGCTTCTTGTAATGACACTGAGGGTGGAGCTTGAGAAACTTTTTGATGGAATCCTGACTACGACAATCTTGGGGCTAGTCATGATGATTTGAGGAACTGTGGAGAAGAGATAATAGGCAGAGATGTCCCACTGGGCGTGCCAAAAATTTGTAACAACAAATTTCGTGTATTGAATTTATAAACACGAAAAATATTTTACAAATGAATTTCTCGAATCAAATGAATATTGTGAATTTCAATCTCTATTTTCTCATTTGATTCTTCTCACAAACGATATTAAGTCTTGGAAGGAAAGCTCTGACTTGATCTTTTCCTTGACTTGACGTGACTTGAATTAACGTTAATCCGAAGGCAAACAACTTGTTGTTATACTCTAAGAACACGAGTTCTTGGTCTTCGCCGTAAAGTAGATCTCAAATCTTCTCCATGCCGGTTTTGAATTTACTAACGTAATTCGGAGACTTGATAGCTTGTTTCCAGATTGAACGTCAGTCTTGATTTTTTATTTTTTTTTAACCATAGGTTTTATAGAACAAAACACACAATTACAAACTAGAAAATAGGAGATCCACTGAGAAGCCAACCAACCAGCTGAGTCTAGGAGGGAGAGCTACACAAAGTGTAGTCTAGAACCTATTTAACAACAACAAACAACCACAAACACGAAACCAAACAACATCAAACTCCCACATAGGAGAAAGAAAACTCCCACAAGGGGAGAAACTCCCAACTGGGAGAACCGAAAAAAGAGACAACAACTAACAATAAAAAACACAATACACAACAAAACATAATCAAAACCTAATTAAGACAATGCCTTCCCCACCGAACGTCTATCCCAGCGCCAGCACACCCAACAAGCATCCGAATCGCTACGCCGGAGAAAGGCCACCAGATGTAGACTCCAAGCCGGACCCCCAATCTGAAACCGCCTCCAAACTTCGCAAAGCTCGTCGAGAGAATTCTCTAGAGCGCCTTTGAATCTTCAAGAACTTAAATCTAGTCGAGAATTCTATAGAGCTCTTGAACTCTAATATGAATATGAATTATGATGTGTGTTTGATAATGTAATTTGGAGGCTTGACAGTCTGTTTCTGGATTAAACATCGGTCTTGAATTTGAACGCGCTTGAATCTTCTTCGAGTCTTCAAGAACACATTTGGATTTTCAAGAACACTTGAATCTCGTCGAGAGAATCTCTAGAGCTCTTGAACTTGAATGAATTGTGATATATCTTTGGCCTTAGGGAGAGTCCCTATTTAAAGGTGTAGGAGAGATAAACCTACCAAATTTAAGAATCATAGGACTCGATTTGATTGTCAATGATGATTCACATAAAATCGTGTAGATCACTTAAATCTCCCAAGGTCTTCTAGAAGATATTCCTCCCTATATATTAGTTCAAAACGTGTTGAGCCTAAGTGGCAGATTCTCACGCTTCGGATGCTGACATGGCCAAAATGTATGCGTCGTGATGTTGTTTTTATATTATTTTTGCTTTGGAGTTAGGTTTGGTATTAGACATAAATAACTTTACGCATATATTCATTAACTCAACACCCATGTTGTACAAGGATATTTTTACTAGTGTGATTTATTTACCAAGAATTAAGGTTTGACACTTGTTATTATTTGATTGGCAAAAAATTAAAATATTAAAATATCAATTAATTAACTATTTAAATTTAGGAATTAAATATGTAAAAATTCCTAAAATATAAATGAAAAATATGACTTGATGTTTAATATATTAATTTTCGCATGGCGCCATTTGATTGGCCACAAATATCTACAATAATAATTGCTAAACCAAATTTCTTTTATAAAAATAAATTAAAAAATATTATAAAAATAATAATATAAATGAACTCAAAAAATTTAGGATGCTTGGATACAAAATTATCTCAAAAAATTCCAATCATTTTTAACTCAACCATTTTTTTTTTAACTCAACACCACTATCATCAATATTTTACTATAATTAAATAATATCAATCAATCATTCTTATACAACATATCACCTTTAATTCACTATTCATTCACTCACATAATTTTAACTAACCATCACTTCAATTTATCTCTCTTACTTTTTACATCAAATCAACTTTAATTATTTTATTTTAAATATTATTTTAATATAACCACTAACAACTAACTATATCGCCTTTTTAAAATTATCAAAACCAAACCAAAAAATTCAAACAAAACAAAAAAAAAAAAAATATAATATCCGAGCATAAGCAACTGAAGATACTTTTCCTTATTTACCCGTCCCTTCTCGAATCAGTAAGTTATAGACGGACCAAAATGTATTTCACTCCAAATTAAGGGTTGACCTACATTAATATGCATCTTTGCATTTGTAAGTGACAGAAATTGGCCCAAATATTACAAATCAATGAATAGACAAGTAAATGGGCTTCCGTTGGGCTGCTTAGAGATAACTAAATGGGCTATGTTCAATTAGGCTGTGAAGAGCCTATGGGCTTACTACCGTAAATACTCTCCAATCTCCACTAACAATTGTTATTGTCAACTACTACGTACCCCGTGTGATGCACGACAAAGATATTAAATGAGTTATTTTCACAGTATTGTCTGTTTAAGTCTAAAGAGTAATATGGTTATTATCTATTTTTTACCTCTTTTAATCAACTTTAAGTCTAAAAAACAATAAGGTTATAAGTTTTTTTCCACATCTTTTAACCAGTGTTTTTTTTAGCCAGAACATTAAATATGAGCATGTTAGGGCTAGCTTGTAAAATAATTAATATATTATCTCACTAAAATATTTATACTAATAAAAATTTAATTTTAGCATATGAATTTATCCCTTCATATAAGAGAAAGTAACATTTTTACTTATTCTTGTTCATCATATAATATTTAATTATTATTTTATTATGTCATAAAAAGGAATACTGTTAAATAGTGTAGTAGAATTGTTATAAAATTATATGATTTTTTTAAATATGGATTTAATATTATTTTATGATTTGATAATATAACTATAATATATTCTTAATGATATAATAATATGAGATACAGATTTACATAATACTATGGATTTATTCCTTAATGTTAAAATATTGAATTAGGTAATATATGATTCACTAATTTGTAATCTGTCTCTTTTTATA